ATACTGTTTTTCTCTCTCTCTCTCTCAAAAAAATAAATAAAATCTTAAAAAAAAAAAAAAAAAGAAGCGCCCATGCTGCCTTCATGAAGCTTCCCCTCCAGACCAGCCACTGATGGGAGTGCAGGCAGTGGACACGGGTTCAGACACCTAGCCTGTATCAAGGAAGCCAGAGGTCTTCCTGGGGAAAGTACTGTATTTATACAGACCTTACTTTTTTCTTTTTTTTTTTTTTAATTTTTTATTTATCTATTAGATAGCAAGAGAGAGCACAAGTAGGGGTGGGGGGGTGGGAGAGGGAGAAGCAGACTCCCCACTGAGCAGGAAGCCTGATGCGGGGCTCAATGCGGGGCTCGATCCCAGGACCCTGGAATCATGACCGGAGCCAAAGGCAGATACTTAACCAACGAGCCACCCAGGCGCCCCACACAGACTGACCAACCTACCTTTCTTTCTTTCTCTCTCTTTCTTTCTCTTTTTTTCTTTCTCTTTCTTTCTTTTCTTTCTTTTTCTTTCTTTCTTTCTTTTTTTCTTTCTTTCTCTTTCATTCGTTCTTTTTTTCTTTTTATTTTATTTATTTATTTGAGACAGAGAGAGGGGGCACAAGCGGGGAGGAGGGTTAGGGGGAGAGGGAGAAACAGACTCCCCAGTGAGCAGGAGCCCGACGCAGGGCTCAATCCCAGGACCCTAGGATCATGACCCGAGCCAAAGGCAGACACTCAACTGACTGAGCCACCCAGGCGCCCCACAGACCTTATTTCTGTAAATACATTTGAGACCCTACTTTATGCCAGGTGCTGCTGTAAGTTAGCACTGTTCAACAGAAAGGTAATATAAGCCATATATGGTTTTAAATTTTGTAGAACACCCTCCTTTAAAAAGTAAAAAGAAACAGGTAGAATTAATTTCAGCAATGTGCTCTAATTAAGCCAGTATATCTAAGGTATTACAATTTCAACATACGTAACCAGTGTAAAAATACCATTAATGAGACATCTCATTTTTTTTTCTGTATTAAGTCTTCAGAATCCAGTGCGTATTTTACACTTACATCTCTGTTCCGATGTTTGGTTTTCGCTAGAAAAACAAGAAAAAGCAGAGAGGTTGGAAAAGCAGATTCACATAGCCGGCGTTGTTCCATTCAGGCTTAAAAGTCACCCAGTAACTGCCTTGAGTGTTCGTTTTTAAATTTTCATTTTAGAAACTTAAAATTTTAAACTCGGTTCCCCAGGCAACTAGCCACATCTCGAGTGCTCAGCAGCTGTGTACATGGCTAGTGTGGACCTACTGGACAGTGCAGGTGTAGACCCGGAGCATACAGCTGTGAGCAAAGCGGGAAAAGCCCTAGCACAGCAGATCAGAGCTGACCGAGGGGCCAGCCTGCCTGTGTGTGACATGCGGGCCTGACACTGACTAGCTGTGGGTGACCTTGGGCAAGTCACTTCCCTTCTCTGCATCTGGGTCTTCCAAAATGCCATGCTCACAGCGCACAGCCCTCAGGGCTCTTGTCACTATGTGTGAGGCACCTGCTGGGGACAGCTGAGGAAGAATCAGCGTGGGGTTTGAGTGGCTGTGGGGAGGGTGCTCTGGATGCAGGGAAAGTATTTCTAAACATCTCTTAGGCACCACTCTTGCTTGTCTTTTCGGTTTCAGCTTAGCTGCCCCTTCCTCCAGGAAGCCTTCTCTGACTCCCCCGTCCCCCTGACTTTACCAGGCCCCTTACCTGGGCATCCGCAGGCCTCGAGCTTCCCCCCAGCATGGCTCTGACCCTTCTGGGCCATGAGGCTTGGTGACTCATGTTCTTGCCTTAAACTGCATGCCATGCAGGGACAGGCAGCTTCTGCCTTCTCTGTATGTCCTCAGCATCCAGCCCAAGGCTCTACAGGCTGTGGGCACTCAAAGGAACCAGCCCAGCCCAGGGGGTTGCTTCTGGGCATCGGGGAAGAGGAGGACCCTCTCAGACCCTCTCTTCCCTCCCTTCCCACCCCCACAGGTGGTGAAGCTGAAACAGATCGAGCATACCCTGAACGAAAAGCGCATTCTGCAAGCGGTCAACTTTCCGTTCCTCGTCAAACTCGAGTTCTCCTTCAAGGTGGGGTCCCAGCGCTCGGGGGCCGGGGCCGCTGCTAGGTGGTACAGCCTCGGGGCTCCCAGAGCTCGGGTGGAGGCCGAGGACAAGCAGTGGCTGCCCACTAACGGGAAAGGAGGAGAGCCCCAGAGGAGGGATGAAGGGGGCAGGAGTTAGCCTGAGACTCTGGTAGACCCATGATCAACTCCTGGGTCCACCAGTTTCTAGCTTGAGAACCTGGGGCAGATCACCCAACCTGGCTGACATCCCTCCAAACCACCTCTCCATTTTACAGCAAAGCGCCTGACGCACGCACGACTCTAGGCCCAAACGGCGCCACACAGCCTGGATTCAAAGCGCAACTCTGCGCTCCTCCAGGCTGTGTCACGCTGGTGCAGGACTTCACTGCCGTGAGCCTCAGTTTCCTTGTCTATAAAGTGGGGATCCCAACACTCCCCACCTAATGGGGTGGCCATGACCGTTCCGAGCACAACGTGAGCACCCTCCGTGAGCTATTTTGGGTGTTGTCCTAAGCTGTGACCACAAGATCTGGGGAAAGCCATTCGAGGCCTGAGACCCAGACAGTCACAAGGGCCCCGTGCCTGGTTTAAAGCTCAGCTGCTGCCATCCTAAAATTTGTAATAATTTTTTTTTAACAAGGGGCTTCACATTTTTATTCTGGGGCCCCACAAATTCTGTAGCCCATCCTGGGCCCGTTTTGCAGGTGACAAAACTGTGACCTCAAGCTTCAGTCAAGACAGTCGCAGACGTGAGATGCCCCAGACTCCTCTCCCCAGCCCAGGCACACTGGCTGGGCCCCTCCCACCCCACCTGCCGGCCCTCACTTTCACCCCCTGTGAGCAGGATCCCAGCTGCCCCTTCTTCTTCATGGGCGGAAGGAAATGAGCCAGGAGGCTCAGGGAGGACAGCGACTGGCACTGCGAACAGGCTTCGTATGGGAGCCAAGATTGTTGTTGTCGCTTTATTCTGGAACACCTACCATGTAAAGGCACCAGGCCTTCAGATGGGCCCCTGATCAGCCGCTATTTCCCATAGGACAACTCGAATTTATACATGGTCATGGAGTATGTGCCTGGCGGGGAGATGTTCTCGCACCTGCGGCGGATCGGAAGGTTCAGGTGAGCTGGCCAGCCCCTGCCACAGTGGGCCCGGGTGTGCCCACAGGTGTCGTCGCATGACCAAGCCATCTGGGAGGTGAAGTGGGGTCTCCAAGTCTGTCTGGGTTCTTGTTGCCCCTGAGCCAAGGAATCTGTGATTTCTCAGCCCCCACAAAACAAGAAGCACGGTGACTTTGGTCTCACTGTTTAAGTTGGCAGTTTTAAAATTCATGCTATCATTTACCTTAGTTATGTAGATATGTGCTTTACATACGACAGAATGCCCAGGAGCTTAACGTTTTGACATTTGCATACACTTGTGAAACCACCACCCAAAATACCATAGAGAACATTTCCATCACCCCAGAAAATCCCCTCGAACCCCATTCTTGGCAAATTGCCGCCCTGAAGAAAGCAGTTGTCCTTTCTGGTTTCAAACACCATAAATGTGTTTGGTCTGGGTTTGGGCTGGATATAAATGGAATCACACCGTTTATCTTCTTCTGTTCCTTTCTTCTCTTGCTTCACATAATCATCTTGACATGTAGCCACACTGTTGAGTGTATTCATCGTTTTTCCTGGCAGTGGTGTTGGGTACGATTCCATTGTATGAAGCTACCACAGTCTGATTGTGTTCCTCTGTTGATGGACATGCGGGTTCCTTCCCATGTGGGACCATATACAAAGAAGTCTGCTCTGCTTATGTGTTTGGGGTGGCTCTGAAGGGCCCAGCTGCTAGACCATTTGGGGGTGGGCAGGTCATGCTGGGCATAACCACCCGCACTCACCTGTCTCCTCCCCAATCGTCCCCACTAGTGAACCACATGCCCGCTTCTACGCGGCCCAGATCGTCCTGACCTTCGAGTACCTGCACTCACTTGACCTCATCTACCGGGACCTGAAGCCGGAGAACCTCCTCATTGACCAGCAGGGCTACATTCAGGTGCCCACCAGGACGGGCAAGGGGCAGGCCCAGGTGGCCATGGGCTGGATCCTCCCCCTCCCTGTCTCCTTCCTGGCCAACAGCCCGTTCTTGTGTCTGCAGGTGACAGACTTCGGTTTTGCCAAGCGTGTAAAAGGCCGCACCTGGACCTTATGTGGGACCCCTGAGTACCTGGCCCCGGAGATCATCCTGAGCAAAGTAGGCACCTCCCCGCCCATCCCACTGCCCTGAGGCCTACTCCACCTGCACCCCCTCCTCACCCTCCTCTCTTCACACCGTACCCCCTGCCTCTCACTCTAGGGCTACAACAAGGCTGTGGACTGGTGGGCCCTGGGGGTTCTCATCTACGAGATGGCTGCTGGCTACCCGCCCTTCTTCGCTGACCAGCCCATCCAGATCTATGAGAAGATTGTCTCTGGGAAGGTGAGGCCTGGATACGGGGGCTAAGCCCCCACACAGACCCTTCCCCACCAGTTCTGCTCACCATGGAGCCCTGCATATAGTGTCAGAACAATCTAGAAGTTAAGTTAGGCCAAGCAGTGAAGCTGGGCGCACCAGCCACATGAACAGGCCAGCACCTCACACAATCTCCCCGTCTAATCCTGGACCCACACTGCTGATGCTTCCAGAACCCCAGGCCTCACCCGAACACCTTCCCTGCCCCACAGGAGACTTCTTGCCTCCAGTCATCCCACTGAGCATGAGTTTCCACAAGTTTCACAGCAGGAAGCAACCATGTGCAGTTCCCAGGTGCCGCTCCAGACCCTGCGGGGTCACTTAAGGGATGCGGCCCATAGCTCCTCTCCCAAATGCAGACTTGCTAACTCTGGGGATACAGGTTGGGGTGGCAGAGCTGTCACAGAGTGCAGACATGCTCACTGCCGCACGATGCGCCCTGCTTGGCTGTACCCCAGCACTTGGAAGGAGTGATGAAGCTCAGGCTTGGACAGCATCATCACAGGCCCCAAGGGCTCAGGACAGGATGGGAACCCCGCCTCTGCCCTCAGCTCACTACCTGGCTGGGAGGACCCAGCCATCCTTCCACCTGGCCTGGGAATTAGAGGAAGCAGCTCCCAGCTCAGCCTGGGGGCGCCAACCTGGCTCCACGTCCCAGCTCAGCCACCCATTGGCTTTGAAACCTCGGGCAAGTGCCTTTGCCCTTCTGAGCCTCATCGTACCCATATGAGAACTGGGGAACTGGACACTTGCCTCTCTGAGAAATCAGCTGCAATGTGGGGTCACTAAAGAGAGAAAGACAAGGTGTCTGCCACTAGGCTGAAAAGAAATTGCAGGGAAAATGGCCCAAAGTTGGGGGGGGGCGGAGAAAAGGCAAAAACCATAGATGGTTCTGAGGAGGAAAGAGAAGATGAGCCTAACTCCCTTCTTTGTAGCATTTTACAGTTCCCACGCGCCCTCAGCGGTATTCTCTCCCTCATGCGACTCTGGGATATCTGCCCCGTGCCAGAGAGGCAGGCACAGGCCCAGAGAGGTTAAGGGCCATGGCCAAGGTCATACAGCGTGTAAGATGTAGAGCAGTGCTGGAACTTAGTTCTTGCGGCTATAAATCCAGTGACTGCTTGCAAACAAGGCTTTGGGGAAGTTTTTGGAAGAGTTGAAGTGAGCCTTAAAGAGTGGAAGAATCTTAGCTATGGAGAGAGGGGGGGAAACAAAAACAGTCATTTCTCTCTCAACCATGAATGTTTCAGAAGTCCCCAGACCCCGGCAGAGCTGCCTTAAGAAGCAGTAGCTAAGAATGCAAGTTCTGGAGTCCAACAGACTCAAGTTGAAGGCCCCCAGTCCCGCTCCTCTGTGTGACCTTAGGCAGGCTGTTTAACCCTTCTGAGCCTGTTCCCTCGTCTCTAAAACGGGAACCATCGTAGGGTTTACCTTAGAGCAGCAGTTCCCAGGGTGGCCCCCTGTCCAGCAGCATCAGCATGGCCGAGGAACAGGCTAGACACACAGGTTCTCAGACCTCCTGAATCAGAAACTCCAGTGGGTCCAGCAAGCTTTTTTTTTTTTTTTTAAATAGTTTGACAGCACGTGCGGGGGGTGAGGGGTGGGGAACGGCAGGGAGAGGGAGAAGCAGGCTCCCCACTGTGAGCGGGCAGCCCGACATGGGGCTCAATCCCAGGACCCCAGGATCATGACCTGAGCAGAAGGCAGATGCTTTAGCCAACTGAGCCACCCAGGCGCCCCCCAACAGGCTTTTTTAATGGGATCCTAAAGCACACTTAAGTTGAGGATTCTCCACCTGGGACGACTATTAGGTGGCAAAGGCAGCATTCTGGGATTCCCCAGACTCCAGACAAGTCCCCCACCCTGTTTGTGTTAACCCCTTCTCCAGGTGCGGTTCCCATCCCACTTCAGCTCTGACCTGAAGGATCTGCTGCGGAACCTGCTGCAGGTGGACCTCACCAAACGCTTCGGGAACCTCAAGAACGGGGTCAATGACATCAAGAACCACAAGTGGTTTGCCACAACTGACTGGATCGCCATCTACCAGAGGAAGGTGCGCTGCCTCCTTCCCCATGCCACCCCCCATCCCCAGCAGGTGCACTGAGGGTTTTGAGCAGAGGCCACGAGCCAGGGAGGGCTACCAATGGAGAGAGGGAAAGGGCAGTGGCATCTAAAAATAGGCCACAGGCTCTGAGTCAGTGTAGCTGGGGGGCCTTAGAGCAGTGGGGTCTAGATGGGGGTTGGTGGGGTCATTTGGCCACTCTGTGACCTTGGGCACGAGACACCCCTCTGGTGAGCTGGCTATATAATGAGATTCTTAGGTTGTTAAGGTGAGTCCACATCCTTATGTTAAGCTCAGGCCTGGGTCAGAGGAAGTTATCTCATGAATGTTAGGCCATTCACATTTATTGTTGTAAGGATGATTATGTTGACTATGGAGGTCTGAGTCGTTCTTGACCCCTCTCCAGGTGGAAGCTCCCTTCATACCAAAGTTTAAAGGCCCTGGGGACACGAGTAATTTTGACGACTATGAGGAGGAAGAGATCCGAGTCTCCATCAATGAGAAGTGTGGCAAGGAGTTTACTGAGTTTTAGGGGTGTGCCTGTGCCCCCACGGGTTTTCTTTCTTAATCTTTCTTTCTTTTTTTTTTTTTTTTTTTTTTTTTGGTGGGGGTGGGAGGGAGGGTTGGATTGAACAGCCAGAGGGCCCCAGAGTTCCTTGCATCTAATTTTACCCCACCCCACCCTCCAGGGTAGGGGGAGCAGGAAGCCAGATATTCAGAGGAATGGAAACACCAGCTGCTCCCCCTCAACCCCTCCCCCTCCTACCTCCCCCTACCGCTTTTGCCTTCCTCCTCCCCAGAAGCCCCCCACCCAGCCCACTTCGGCCTGTTTTAAACGAGTTTCTATATTCCAGTCAGACCATGTCTTACTGGTGTATTCAGGGACAGGGTGTGGAAAGAGGGGCCCAAACTTAACTCCCTCCCTAGCCCCCCTAAACCACAGGCATCACCCTCTAAGGGAAAATGAAGGAAAGGCCAGCCTTCTCTTCAGAGCAGTGGTGCCTGGAAAGGAGAGATTTTAGTGACCTGTTCAGTGGGCTGCTTGCTAGAATTTAAAAAAAAAAAAAAGTATAATCTTATTTAAGTTCCACCAGTGCCTCCCCCTCCTCCTTCCCCTACCCCTCCCAAGCTGCCCCCTTCCCAAATCCACTTTAACGAGGCTGGGAAGCAGACTGAATTTCTAAAGGAAGGAGCTGGGGTTCAAACCTCCGCCCCAAGCTGCTAATCTTCTCTGCTCCTCTGCCCACCTCCCCCCAACCCTGGGGGGTCCCCTGGCAAGCCTGGAAGGGTCTCAGCCCCTTTAGGAAGCCCCTGTCCCCCTCTGCCCCAACAGACCTTTCTTCACCCTTGGGCTTCGGCCAAGACAAAGAAAGCAGCTGCCCCTCTCCCTGCCAAAAAGGAGTTGTCCCCCGAAAAGATAGAAGGGGAGCCCCAAGCCCAGGGTCTTTCCTCCCACCAGCAATCCCCCCAAACTAATTTTATTCTCAGCTAGATTTTAATGCCCAGCCTCCTCTCTGCTCAGTTGGGAAGGCAACCCCCGCAAAAGAAGGCAAAGCCTTCCTCCCGCCTCTTGGCCAGGGGTTCAAGGCCAGGGTTGCTGGGGAGGGGCTGCCTGTTTTATTCACCCAGCAGCCTCCGCCCCCCTCCCCCCATCCTGGGCGCTCCTCCTCTGCTTAGCTGTCAGCTGTCCATCACCCTTTCTCCCCCCAATTTGTGCTTTTTTCTCTCAACACAAAAGTGGGGAGCCACCCCATTCATCCCCATATTTGTCCCTCTCATAACTTCTCCCCATCCAGGAGGAGCTCTCAGGCCTGGGGTGGGGCCCCGGGTGGGCACGGGGGCGATTCAACCTGTGTGCTGCGAAGGACGCGACTTCCTCTTGAACAGTGTGCTGTTGTAAACATATTTGAAAACTATTACCAATAAAGTTTTGTTTAAAAAAAAAAGTGTCGCTGGTGTTCCCGACTTCGGTCACCCGCCCACATACCCCCAGGGGTTTGGAAAGAGAATTTCGGACCCCAACGTCCAGGCTGATCGGGATCTGGCCTGGAGTCCTTGTAAAACCGGGTTTGGCCGGAATTCCGCCACTACCCCGCCCCGCAGGAGAAGGGGGCGCCAAAGTGCCCTTTGACCCTGGATTCGGGGTCCCCGAATCTGCGGCGCGCCCCCTCGGCGTCCAGCCCTCGGCCGAGAGGGCGCTCTAGGGAGACGCTGGGGCCGGCGCGCCGGGAGGCCGAGCGGCGGCGGGGGCGGCCGTGGGGGGGGGGGGGGGGCAAAGGGTGGGGGAAACCGTGCGCGCCCCCCTCCCCGCATCCTCGGAGCGGAGCGCGGGGCCAAGCGCGCCATTGGGGCGCAGGGGTGGCGACAGTCCGAGGGTCCCCGCGGCGCCCGGCAAGCGCAGCGGCCCGGCCCGCGGGCGGCGAGTTCCCGGTAAGTGCGGTCCCGAGAGCGGAGCGCGCCGGGGAGGCGTGGAGAGGGGGGCTGGGCGCCGGGGACGTCTGGGTCCCGCGCCCAATGGCTGGAGGGCGGCCGAGCGCCGCCC